GATATGAACCGATGAAGAGCTGCTACCCTTCCAGTCAACCTCTGTATATCCTTCACTGACTTCGGCGGTTCCATCTCGGCAATTGCTCTGATCTTCTCTAGGTTGACCTCAATCCCTATCCGGGAAACCATGAAACCAAGGAATTTTCTAAACTCCACACCAAAGATGCATTTGGCTGGGTTTAACCTCATTCTATTCTGTCTGAGATTGTTGAATGTCTCCTCAAGGTCGGTTAAGTGATCGTCAGCTTTCAAACTCTTTACCACTATATCATCAACATAAACTTCCAGATTCCGTCATATCTGAGCTCGGAATACGATGGTAACAATCTTCTGGTAAGTGGCACCTGCGTTCTTCAAGCCGAAGGGCATCATTACATAGCAATAGATCTCATCGCCAGCATAGAACGAGGTTTTTTCTTCATCCTCAGGAGCCATTGGGACCTGGTGGTAGCCTGAGTATGCATCCAAGAGACTTAATCTCGCATTTCCCGAAGCTGCCTCAACCAGCTTGTCAATGTTTGGCATCGGATAACAGTCCTTTGGACATGCATCGTTGAGGTTAGTGTAATCAATGCACATCTGCCATTTACCGTTCGCTTTTTTCACCAACACCGGATTGGCGACCCACTCACAGTAATCTACCCTTCTGATAAAGCCGGCTTGTAGGAGTTTCTCGACTTCTTCTTTAATAACCTTTAACCTCTCCCCCCCGAAGAGGCGTCGCTTCTGGGCTACTGGTTTCTTGAGGGGATTGGTGCTGAGTTTATGTTGAAAAACTAAAGTGGGAATTCCCGGCATATCTGCTGAAGTCCATGCAAAAACATCTTTATTGGCTCGAAGAAAAGCTATTAGCTCTGCCCTTTCCTCAGGGTTCAATTTAGTCCCAATTTGCGTTTTCCGGCTCGGATCTCTGTCATCAATCTGTACCTCCTCCACATCTTCGACTGGAGCAGCTCTGGTTTCATCTTCTAGTCGATTATCTACTATCTCAACACCCATAACTTGCCGATCATCAGGAATCCGTTTGGGATTAATCTCGGGCGTTTGAGCCTTGCCCTTCTGAGGTTGTGTTACCGAGGTGATATAGCAATGTCGGGTCACCTCCTGGTTGCCTCGCAGCGTTGCTATTCCCGTAGGAGTTGGGAACTTCATGCATAGGTGAGATTGGGAAACCACAGCTCGGATTTCAGTCAGTGTGGGTCGACCAATGATGACATTGAACGAGGACGCCATCTTGACTACCAGAAACCTAACTGAAGGGGTCACATAACTCTGGCCACTTCCAAACGCAACATTCATGGTGAGGACTCCTTCAACTGGGACTGGCTGGTTGTTGAATCCGTAGATGGGACCATCATACTGCTGCAACAAAGCCGGATCCAACCAAAGACTTTCAAAACAATGGAAGTACATGATGTCTGGTGCACTCCTTGTGTCAACAAGGACGCGCTGCACCTCACAATTATTGATCGTGACAGAAGTGACTAGGGGGTCATTGTGAGGCGTGACGACTGTGTCAAAATCAGCAGATGTGAAAGTAATAGGTTGATTCTTCCAGTCAGCATCATTAAATTTCCGTTTCTGGGCGCGGTTTGGATGCTTAACCTCTCTGACGTACAACTTTCTCTGTTTAGAGCTTAGTCCACTGGCTTCCAGACCTCCTGTAATCATGTGTATAATTCTAACTGGTGGTGGGAGCGGGGGTGGGGCTTGCTGATATCCCACACCTTGCCTGTTTGGTGGGTTACGGACTCCTTGATGCTGGTCCCTTGTTCCCTGACAAACCGTGGCTGTTCTACTCTCTGGATGTACTCATTTAACATTCCTTTCTACGCCAGACTTTCCAGCTCGGACCTCAGACTATTGCATTGTTCTGTTGTATGACCGTGATCTTGATGAAAATCACAATACCTGGTATGGTCTCTGGTAGCAGCAGCAGTTCTCATTAGACCCGGACGTCTTAAGTCCATCTTATTCTTAATCTGCATAAAGATTTGTGACCTCGGTAAATTAAAAGGAGTCCAATTAATTGGAGGTTTACCTGCAGGTTGTTGCGGAAGTGCGGAGTTCGGCCTTCCGAATCTTAGGGTGGAAGCCGACATCGGACCTCGGTTCTATGTTGTCTTCATTCGTTTCCTGTTCGGATTCTCATCTTTCCAGTCCGGGTGTTGGTTCTTAATAGGAGTTATATTCTGCGACAGGGCATATTCCTCAGCAGTTATGAATTTCAACGATCTATCATTTACCTCGCTGAAGGTGTTGGCAGGATGTTTGAGCAGACTATCTCGGAATCTCTCATGGCTAAGACCTGAGATCACAGCTGTAATTCCCACAGGTTGGTCGAAAGAGTTAACCTTCAGTACTGCATCATTGAATCTGCTCATAAAATTCTTCAAAGACTCTTCGTCCCTCTGCTTAACTTGCATCAGCTCAGAAGTGGTTTTCCTGATCAACCTTCTACTGGAAAACTTTGTGGCAAAAGCAGATGCCATTTCTATGTAAGAGTTGATTGACCTCGGAGGCCGACTGTAGTACCAGGTTCGAGCATTACCTCGGAGGGTAGAGGGAAAGATTTTGCACATCAACGCATCAGAGGCGTTCTGGGCCTGCATGCAAGAGTAGAAAGCATGTAAATGATCATCGGGGTCCTTCGTCCCATCATAAGTTTCAAGCTGTGGTATTCTGAAGCCAGCGGGATAGGGTTCCAGTATAATATTGGTGTTGAGAGGGTGGGGTACGGAGTCAGCAGCAGGGTGTGGAGGTGGGGCACCTCGCTATTCAACCACTAGCTTTTCTAAGCTATCTAGACGTCGAGTGACATCACCATGAAGGGGTTGCTGAACTGGCGTGAAGTGAGATTGGCCCTGAGATTCACTAATAGCAGGAGCATGCTGAACTGGTTCAGGATTTTGTGGTGGGGCTGGAGGTTGTGAAGCAGGATTAAGTAGGTTGATGAGTGGATCACCAGGATTATTCCGGGCTAATAGCTGTGCCAGTACTAACTGAAAGATACCAAACTGCTGTTGCATGGCAGCAAGCTAAGTTGCAACTACGCCTTGGTTAGCAGTAGAGGCTGAGTTGTGAATTGAATTGGGTGGTTGATTTTCGTCTTCTCATTCTGCATGATCAACAGGAGGGAACGTATTTGGGATTGGGGGTGGGGGATGAGGCGGAAGGTTGCTGGGGACCTGACCTCGTCCAAGAGGCTGAGATGAGTTTCCACCTCGGGCTGATCTAGTTTTAACCATGATAAGAGTAACAAGGGAGCCTTTAGTTCAGATTCCCACAGACGGTGCCAAAGTGTAACTGCACCAAACCAAAAGTCCTTCTTCAGTCCGTATCTGCACTCTGGATTGACCTGCAAAGCCCCGAGGTGGATCCTCGGGGTAGACACTCCGATGCTTAAGTCAGCAATAATCGGGGCTACCTTTAGAGCGGAGAAACAAGGAGCTTAGGGTTGGTTTCAATTACCTTTTGGCGTGGCCCTTGAGGGGTATTTATATGTTCCCATGAAGAAACCACGTGGCATGCCAAGCAAAATATTCGGGATCTGATGTGTATCTCCAGGTAGTTATTTCGGGATTTGATGCGTATCTCCAAGCAGTTATTTTGGGACCCAGGGATTGAGCCAAGCAAGAAATTCGGGATTTGATGTGAGGATGTCCATCATAACTGCTATGCTGCTGTTCGAGCGGGAAGCTCTGGATTTATTCCTTACTTCGGTTGTAAAAGAATTACTGCCGTACGTCCGAGGTTGAGCACCTCGGACCTGCTCTTACAAGATGGTTGGATGTTGGGTGAAGAAGAAGATGGTTGGATGAGGAAGAAGATGGTTAAGAAGACGGGAAGAAACACATCAACTTGCGCTATGCGAGAAAGGAACGGTAGGATGTTATAATTGGAACCTATATATAGTGGCTTTTTTTTGTAAATAGAAGCAAATGTGAGGATAAAATAAGAAGAGTGAGTAAAATTCATTAAACAAAAAAGTTGAAGTTGCCGCATAAGCACGAAATTCAT